TTTCCCTACCACCACCTTTTAGACTGTGCGCGCACTGGATATTTTCCTTTTAAGCCTCAGTTCACCTGGTAGCAGTGACAAAGACAGTGCTACTACAGACAGGGCATCATAATTGTTATCATTATGTCTGTTATAGAAGAGATGATAGTAAAAAATGCTATTGGCCACCTGGCTATTCCAGCAGTCCAACTTTTGTTCCTCCTGGTAGAGCTGTACTCATGACATCACATCAGTGGGATGCTTCCTAAATACTGTAAATCTGGATTATCCAATGTAAGAGAATCATATAAGGTTACAGAGAAGAAAAACTTACCAAACCATCTGGTCTATCTTCATGAAAATGCAGGATAATTCTTGACAGGACTTTTTATCTATTCTATCAAGGCTAGCCCATAAGGCATTTTGTTACCTCTCCTACCCACTCTCAAAACATGAGACAGAGAGAAATGTGCACTGAATTAAATGAACATTTTTGCTGGCTGTTCACTATTATCAACATCAAGAGCATCATAAATTAACCCCAAGCAATAAAAATGATGTCTGTAGTGCTCACTTAGGAATTACAAGTCATTTCTCATAGATCCTTTGATCCATCCATACATCTATCTTTGGAACATTTAAATGACATGCAAACAGATTTGTAAGGAATATAATCAAACATATACTTTTAAATGGCATTCCAGTAATATTGTTCAGACCAGAGTAGAGAAGAAAGCTACAGGCTCATGATTTTAAAGTGCAGATGAAGGTAAAACGCGTGGATAAAATGCAGCTGGATTTCACGGATAAAAACGCAGCTGGATTCCAAGGAAAGGTTGATCAATATGTAATCCACACCTAGTGCCAGGTTTAGAAAAAAAAGTGTAAGGAAATATCTATTATGAACTATTTTGTAATTCACTGCCCTCCTTCAGAGCAGAAGTCTAATTCCCATCAGACCACCAGCAGTTGCAGTTGCTGAGAGAAGACATCAAATCAGGCTGTGACCTCCTTTCAACCAGTGCCACTCATTTTTCTTACTGTGTTTTTCAGATAGCCCTCTTTTGCTGTAGGAGACATTGTAGCAGCTTTCCATCATGGCACCCATGCTCCCTGATGTTTTCAGCACCGGGTTTCAGTGAAAAAGTGAAACCTGACTTAGACTCCAGTGAATCTGGCCTATGAAGGCTGCATATTTTTTCTCATTTTCTAAATACTGCACAATGCTGTTTTCTCTCAGAAGAAAACAGGCATGAAAGATGACACCAAATGTAATCATCTGCCCCTTTTCCTTGGAATACTATAAGCATAAAGGAAAAATAAAAGCAGTAAAAGAGATAAGTAACTTCAGACTTGTTCAAAACACAACTGTACAAGAATAGTAAGTACTTGTTTTGCGGTATTTATACTTGTAAGATTGGAAAATGCTTGAAGACTAGCATATGTACTTGGTGACTATTTCATGAAGGGCCATGTCTCCCATCTCAAATATGCCACAACCTACAAGTCACATTATACAAACATTACAAGAGTAAACATATATGTTACTGAAAAGATAAGCAATTGAACCTATGAAGACTATTTAATTTGATAATGTATAAGCCTACAACTTCATTAGCTGAAGGATGAGGTTTCCTTTTCCTGAACTTTTTTTGGAATTGAAGAGGAGGGGAACTTACTGTAATGGTTTTGGCACTGCCCAGAATATTTTTTTGAAGGGTAAAGGAAGATGTGAACTGTGGTACAGAGTATTATCAGAAGGAAAACATACATTTCTTAGTTTCCTTAGTTTATAAAGCTTCTACAGAGCTTTAGATAGAAACAATATTTACTGCTTTTTCTATTAAGTAAGCAATGGAATATTATTTTGTCCATTTTCAGGAGGGTTCCTCTGGCTTTCAGACTAAAGACAGATCCATCCATACTTCTATGCAACGTCTGGAAATAAATGTCATGGTTGAAAAATGAAACTGCTTGACTGGCTGCCCTAGCTATTGCATGGTACCTAGAGCAAGAACTCTGCATGGCTCTGAAGACAGCAAAAATCTCTCCTGAATAATCCATATGCTTTCAACTCATCTTTATATTTTATTGATATTTCAAAAAGCAAATAGAGACAAAGATTAAACAGTCCACAATCTTGATTTTTCATAATGACAGCTAACGTGTAGTGAAATTGTTAACTTGTTATTAAGCAGGACATTATATATTTGGTCAGAGCTACTGCTTGCAATACTAATCCCAATCTTCAAATCAATGGATAGATGAGTGTGGGTGTATACATTCCTTTAAGCTACTGCTGATAGCAGTTATTTTAATGAAACACAATGGATTTATTTACATGGATGGAATTTGTTGCCTGATGTCTAGAAAGGGCCATACAAGTAGTTTATTATTATTTCTGTATCTATTATGATAGTGTCCACAGGTGCCAGTCAGGTTCACTGAGTTAGGTGATGCATAGACAAATAAGAGGATATGCTTTTTACTGTTACTAGCTTATAATCTAAGATTCCTCTTCTGCACACTACCAACTTCCTCATATTTATTATAAGTAATTATAATAATAACTTATTATTTGAATAATCTACCATCTTTATGGGCTCCACGTTAGGCTTGTGGGCCTGTGGGACTAGTTCTACTAACTTCAATGGGACAGCCCATATAAGCAGCTGCATAACTTTATTCAGGTTGTAAATTAGGACTGTTCCTAGTTTAGAGCAAAATCAAACTAAAACTCAGCCCAGCTCTCAGTGAGTTAATTGGAGTTTTTCCATGGATGGCAAATGGGATAATGAGTCACCTGCTTCAGTGAGTAGGCAGAGTCTGTCTAATACTTTTCTCTGTAGAATAAACACCTGCTAACAGGGTGGAGTGTTTTGGACAAAGACTACCACACTTCTCAGCAGTAGCTAAGGAGAAATAAAGGTCATTTGCTTTACAAAATGTGCAAAACAGGAAAGTATCCTTCATTCTCCAAACACAACATGAACTCTGGGCCAGATTTTCTGCTGGCATCAATCCACTGGCTGCAGTGACAAGGAGGCGGTTCTCACTCTACCTTGCAGGACAATATAGAACATCAAAACCCAGAATGGGTCACAGCTTTTATTAGTATTTAAGAAAACTGAGAGTTTCTAAATTCTGGGAAACCCACTGGCAAAAAAGCTCTACTGGAAGAAAGAGAGAAAAAGAGTTCAACAGTCTGTACAGACAGGGTATGTGCGATCAAGTTCTCCCTTGTAAACCTATGATCAGGCCTCATAATTAGAAAGGGAGGAAAATTAAGAGATCCAAAACAGGCACAATCCAACAGAGAAAAATAAAGGGCTTGTTATAATATAGTACTTTTCTCAGCCCCCCTGTGATGGCTAAAATGTCAAATATTTAGAATTTTAGTGCTTATTGCTTATCATTCAATATAGTCAGTGTAAGTGTAGCTAACTAGCATGCTAGAAAGCAAAATCATACTCTCATGGCCTAGCAGGGGAGCAGCTCTGTAACAAGGCAGGTCTCACATTCCAGAGAGAGAGATTTTTTTCTTTTTTTGTGTGGGGGAGAGAAGAGTGTTTAACGAGACTTGAGAAGAGAAGCAGTCCCATCTCGCATGCATTCTGCACAGCTTCAGAAATTAACTTCTGGTACCTGAAAGTCCAAATTAGGGATAGAAAGATTCCAACTACATGATTACATCTTACCAGACGCCTGCTACCTCTATTGGCTGGACAAGGTATGTCAGACTGGACCACCAATGAATGGACCCAGACAGGTACACAATGGATGGACTAAAGGTATAAGACTTGAGGGGAACAAAGAAAGGGTGTGTTCATCATTTGGCAACTTCCTTCAGATGAGACCACTGCAAACTCAAGCAAGAGACCTGAATAAGAGGACTGCATGCTGGCCAGCTGTCTGTTTTCCTGTGTGTATCCCTGGGGCACAGTGTATAGTAAAAGACTTTGCTTGCTTGCTAACTGTCATATGCTGCTACTGTGTATCAATAAAGGTCATCAACTTATTGACTGAATGCATTGTGATCACTAATCAGTCATTTTAGGGATGTTGCACACAACTGAGTATCAGCTGTTGATTCTTAAAATCAGGCCAATACCCCGCTAACAGCTAATAGCAAAGATTTTTTGAAAACGAGTCTTACTTATACAACCTTCCTTATAATTCAGCTGATGACTCCTACCAAAGGGATGGGAGTGGGGATTTGAACAGCTGTGAGAGGATCAGCCAGTGAGCTACAGGATGAAGGTGTGAACTCTTTCCTTTTCTTTTTCAGAACCTCCCTGTCCACCCCTAATTTCAATTACCACCCTGCTCTTTATTTATAGATATGTGGTCAATTGTTATTGAGGGGTCAATTCTGTTCAAATTGCTTTCATGCCAGAAGCCTTGCTCAGTTACCCCTTTGGTTTGATGTTGAATTGTGCAACAGTGCTCATCTTTGCCTAATATGTACAGCACCATGCTGAATTTTTTATATTACATCCTTCTGGAAGTTTACATATCAGCCCCTGATGAATTGCTTGTAGCACAGGATACTCATTTTAAAAGCATCACAGCTCTGTAAAATCAAATGCAGGATTTTATGAAGACCTGTGAGAGTTGTAAAATCCTGGGCACTCATTTGAAATCACTCTGTTTTTGAAATACCATCTAAAAAAATAATCCCAGGATGAAAACTTTGGGGGTTTTTTTCCCAGAGATATGCTTGCTCTGTTTTCCAAGTCTTTTGTCACCCATATACAACATCTGTATTTTGTACTATTTCTGAATGTGTCCTTTGGTGAATTATATTCAGTGGTAATATGTATATCCCCAGCATAACACTGTCACTTCCGGATGATCAAAATCTATTATATAAATCATTAGGATTTAAAACACTTGACTTGTTGATAAAGTTGCCAGTAGGCACAAACATGTACAAATTAGAATGTCTAACCCAATGTTTCTCAACCTTTTTGGACTCGAGGCATACCTCACTAGACTTCAAGGATTAGGGGTGGGGGATTGTCCAGGCAGGGACAAATCTAAGTTTGGTTTATCTGTTCATTGCCTCGCTTGTCTCCTTGCACCTGGGGCACTCTTCAAAGGATCTCATGGCACACTAGAGAATCACTGGTTTAACCCATTACTGACACAAATCCCTTTTAGTTTTATTCTTATACTTTGACAGTAACCCCCCCAATTTTGTTTAATTTTTAGATAGAGCTTTCCACCTGTAAGTGGCACCAGGTGGCTGCTACAAACATCTTGTACTATCTTTTTCTTTAGTTGTGCCTTATGCAGACAGGGATCTGTTTGAGTTAGAGGCACCTTATTCATACGTACTTTGCTATTTTAAATATCCTGCCTTTTCCCTTTTTATTAGAAATTTGCCATTGGGATGGTAACAACAGGATCTAATACGAGGGAAAAAAAATATGTGATAAAATGTAGGAGGAAAATAGAAAAAGGTTTACTTACCAAACCAAGCTTGTTGTTCTCCTTGAACTTCTATAGCCAATCCAAAGTCTGCCAATTTTACTGCTGCTCCCTTGGATTTGCTAGCTAAAAGCAAGTTCTCAGGCTTTATTTAGGGAGAGAAAAAATTGAGATGAGAACACATGATAAGTAAAAACTATTTTAAAGATTTATATTTTCCCATTGAAGTCCCATTACAGGCAATGCTGCAAAATCCAAAAACTGCCTTGCTGCATGGAATAAAAGCATGTGTTTTTTCCTCCACAGTGCAAAACTCCTAGCATTTTATTTTAGTTTCTACAGGACCACCTGGCCTGTAGATGTCCTTCCTCATCCTGTGTGGCAACAGAACTAAGTCAGATGTTCAGACCTACTAGTGGATTTTAAATGACCTGAGTGGTCATGTAAATGTATTACATTTGCCTATGTGACATGGAAAATTCAAAGTCTCTAACAGCTGACTATTACAAAAATGAAGAAATAAATACTATGTTTGATTCTGGGTGTTATCTGTGTATGGAGTTTTTCAGGATCAGGTGTCAAATCCAGATTTTAAATAACTAAAATTGTAATGTGCTTACCATAATACCATAGCAATAATAAGAGTAATAATTTCAGAGCATTTTTAACCAGAAAATGGTTTTGCACTGTGGTGTACACATTTGAGAGATCTCTTTTTGTTATAGAAATATGCACTACAATTGACATTTATAAGTAATCTGTACTGATCTTTACAAGTTAGTGGTTTTGTGTTTCAGAAAAAAGTTGCAAAAACTCCAAAACCACTTAAAGAAGTTATACTGATTTGATCTGAATTAAAACATCACATGCAGTGTACACATTTAAAATAAGACCTAAGGTAATACCAGAGTTAAACATTCCTAATAGTGTATAATTAACCTTTCTCTGTACATCCTGTTAAATATACTTCTCAGACTGTATAACAAATGCATTTTTCGAAAGATAACTTTACTCCAGGAACCTTAATCTTTTTGTAATTTGCAGAATATTTTAGAATTCAACAAAAAATGCAAAAAAATGCTGGGATTCAACTGTGGGATGTAGTACCCTTTCCCTGCCAGCTATTTTCTTTTTTTCCCCCTTTGTTGCTATAACTTAGTGATTTTCAACCTTTTAGCCCCATGAGGTTGAAACGGTCCCATGAGTGGGGCCCCATGAATGGTGCAGAGCAGGTCTGCAGGCTGGATCGGGCCCATACCCCAGGAATGGGCTTGGATCCATGACTGGATCCTGGCTGCACCACCCCACCCTGTAGCCCAGGGTCATGTGCTAGGATTGGGGCTACATGACCCTATGCTGCCTCTACTGGGCACTGGGGCCCTGTACCACCTCTGCCTGGCCCCATGTGCAAGGCCCAGGCTCCTGTGCCCTATGCTGCCTTCTACCTGGCCCCAAGTGCTGGGATCAGGCCCTGTGCTGCTCTGCATGCTAGAGCCGGTATGTAGGCTCCCCACAGTGTGCAGGCACCTCCAGAGACTCGTGAGGCGCTCCGCAGTCCAGATGACAAGGTGCTAGACCTGGCCCATAGGCCGCGACCCTGATATAAGTTTTTTCCATCACATCACTTTTTTTTTCAAAGATGTAAGTACCATTCTATGTTTATGTAATTACAGTCTTGGTTTATTTATCTCAGTTACTTCTGTTGAAGTGGCCCTCAGTCATAGTTGTCACAAACGTAGGTCCATTACTATTTGTTTTAAACTGAGGATCCAATCCATAAGCACATACTTTATTTTAAACATGTGGGCAACCATGGCTTCCAATATACTATTCATGCGCTTAAGGTTAATCCTGTATATCAACACACACCAAACTGGTGCCTTGGTAAACTTTCTAGACAAGGACTGTCTTTTAGTGTATGCCTGCGGAGTGCCCAGAAAAAAGAGTGCTAACTCCATTAAGACGTCCATGCTTTAGGGCGATGCTATTAATTAACAACAATTATAATATTAATGGAAATGCCTATGAATAGGCTCTCCTAAAATCTTGCTTAGAAGTGATTATTTCCTGTCTCACTGAACTCTTATTAATCATTACTCCTAAAACCTAGCTACTTCTTCACTAAAGGTTAATTATATATGAACAATTTTTAATTCCTTTGCTGTGAACATGCCTAGAAAAGTTTTGTTTAGAAATGTGTTTGCTTAAATTATTTTCCCTCTTACTGAACTAAAAAAACAGATCAAATGAACCTTCCTCGATTTCTCACCTTCAGTCTACAACCAAAAATTCTAAAATCAAATAGGAAAATTTCAGCTCTAAAGAACTTTTTTTCTGCAAGTTAGGAGGATGAAAAATAGGACATTTTCTGACAAATATTCTGCTTGTAACAAAAGCTAGCATTAGTTCTTCAGTATCTCTCTTGTTTAGGTATTTTTCAAAGACACATTTAACTTTGATAAGGGGTACAAGATAAGTCATTCTATCTATCATCCTTATATTACTGAAAATTAGCGGATTAATAAAACCTGATAAATGCAAGATTCTTCCTATCATCATTGGTGACAGTTTTTCCAAATAGAGATTAAGGTGTCTCAGAATAAAATTAAATCTTTACATTCTCTTAATTTTTAAATATCCACTTAACCACATTATCCCCAACATTTACTAAAATAATTAAAAATATTTTCTTAATTTTGTCGTGGTTTATTGATGCTGATATAAACAAGGACCCATCATACCTATTTCAATACATGGTCAAATACATTCCTAGAGGCTTTCAGATAGATAAGTTTACAGTAATTACTTCCAAGAATGCACTGCTTATGTAAACCACTTAAAGCAATGGATGATCTTATTTGTTTGTGACCTTCAACAATCCAAACCCAGTGAAATGTCATCTGTTTTCAGTTGGCACAAAGAAATCCTAATTCGTCAAGCACATACCACTTCACAATATGTGATCCTATTCAAAATAGCGTTTCAGTCTCCCCCCCTCCATTAGAGCTCTTTAATCTCCCAATCAAATGGGATTCATGTACTCTAAGCAAATACCATTTTCATAAGATAATACATATGTTTCAATAAAAAAAAGCACATTTAGTCGTATTGCAAGGTCAACAGCCTTCTGGGCAGTGTTTTGTGGGACCAGGCATTTAAACAACATGCAGCTGTCAGTTCAGGATAATAAGAAACACAGTAGATAATCATCATGCATGAACGTTGAATGGCTGGAGTGTATATGCATAACTGGAGAGGACTTGGGAGACTGTTTAACAGCATAGTCTTCTGAGTCACTGAAGAAATTAATAGTTTGGATCAGAAAGCAGCAACTTGCACTCAGGAAGACAGTTTGGCTGCAGTCATGCATGTAGAATGGCAGTAATGATTAATAAAGTTACTTGTAAATAAATTAACAGGGTTTATGAATGTCACTTCTAAAGGTCTTTATTCTTAAAGGTTAAGTGTGGTTTTTAATACATCTGGAGCATGATCGCAATTATTTTTTTTCACAATGAGAGGAGCGTGGGGGCAGTAATCATCATGCTTTTGCCAGAGACAATGCTGCTGATTGCCAGTACCCGTGTAGCTTACATCTTGAAATGCCTACAGGGAAAGGCACTATGAACTTTTGTTAAAGATATCATGAATAAGTATTTCTATTGGTTAGCTTAAAACTCTGATGGGGGTCACAGTGGCCCTTCATTTTTAGCTAATAACTTGCATTCAGAAGCTTAAAAGAAAGGTATGCTTTCCTAAAAGGAAGTCAGGTCTTCTCCTTCAAATATAAAATACAAGCAGGCATTTCACAAAGCAGAATGCAGATGGGGTTTGCTGAAAAGATGCTGCCAAACTCAGAAAATCTTGAGAATCTGTGCAAAGCCATGACGGACTCCTATAGTTTCCTTTCTGGCTTCCTTGCTGGAGCTTTTCCAGAGCTTCCCTGCGTGGAGAGTTTTGTAAAGAATTTAACATAAACTTCAGAATATATTCACTTTCCTTTACCACTTCTACAGGGAAAGAAGATGAACATTTTTCAGCTTTCCAAAGTTTTCATTTTGAAAACAAAATGGTTTTGAAATTAACTTGGCAGGAACAAATTCTCTCCTCTGCTTCCAATTAATTCTGGGTTTGCCAAGGTAAGAAATCCACACATGGGTTGGAGTGTAGAGAACAGCTGGGTTTCATAAGAGAACATTCTTTTTCAGGCTTCTCTGAAGAAAAATATACTTTTTAATTGATGGTACCAGAAACCATTCCTTAACTTCTCAATTTGTATGGCTACGCTCCAGTGCCTTTATCGCTTCTAATGCTAGAAGTATAGTAACAGTGTAGTAACAGACAGAACAGGCATCTTAAAAGCACCTGGGCAAATTTCACCACCTTTCATTTAACATTTTTCCTTTATGTTATCCAGATGTTGAGCAGGATTTGTGATTTAAATAGAGACTTAGCATTGTAATGTTTTCTAAAAGCAATATAAACAGGGTAACTTCAGAAAAGCTTAGCTGTGCTTATGGATTTCATCACAATCTCTGGATTTTCAGACTCCTGTTTTCCTGGATTACAACCCCTTGGACTCATCTCATACAAAGCTGAGCAAACTTAAACACACACTTCCTCCACTCCTGATTACAAGGGAAGAGAGTCATAGCAAGCAGAGAACCACCAGAAGCCACCTTTTATTTTCCTTCTGAAAGGGAATTCTCTTTTCAGACAGCATACATTTCTATCTGCCTTTGATGTAAAGAAAGTTAATTTATATATATATTTGAGATCATGAAGACTGAGTTATGTCTGAATTTAGATTGTCTCATTATAAATAGGGTGATAAGGATTCTCTTTCTGCTTTGAGAGACTATCCAGTTTGTGTCTGTGCTTTCTGGGGCAGAAAGTGGAGAGAGCATCTCACTTCCTTACTTGAATCTTGAAACTGGCTTTAGAAGTGAGAGGAATGTTATACGTACTCCAGTCATTTGGAAGGCTGTTTGAATGAGAAAGGGGTTATATTTCTCACAGCAAAGGAAGCTCCAACCCCAAGCTTCTATTCAGTACTAGTACTATCCTGGAAAACTTGGTTCTTTAGGATCATTATGGACAGACAATGGTAGATATTTCAGGTTAAAACAAAGGTATTACATGGTTCAACCACCTGAATGGAAAGTGTAAAACAGGTCTTGGAAAAAGCAGTCACAAGGAGGGTGATATTTTACTATTAGGACATATGGCTTGTTTGTTTTTTTGCAGGCTTCATTGGCAGGTCTCTCTCAAATGGCTTGATATTCATAGTCCTGTAAACTGCATGATCCCTCCAGGCAGCTCTGGGATGGTAGACTGGAATACTGTTTGTATAACAATGCAGACACCACAACACGTGAAAAATAGCTTTTCCCTCTTCTGAAACTTTTCCTTTCCTTTGTGAGAAGGTATTTAGCAGCATTTGCAGTCTTTTTGGAATATGACAGGGCCATGCTGAGTGCTTCTGCTACAGCCTTGAACTGACAACCTCTAGTCTGTGAACCACATGCCCTGGTGCCTGTACCACCCCATGGGCCACTCTGAAGCTAACAGATTGAGAGATGGCATAAGGCTGAATGCCGTGAAAATTATAAATATCAACATGGTGATCAAGGGATGACAGAAAAACAGTAAGAGCTCTTGGAGGACCTTGTAACAGATAGCTTGCTTGTCTGTCTTCAGGCTTTGGAGATGCATTGTAAATCATCATACCTTGTGTGCGTATGTCTATAAGGATCAACAGATAGATGATTGTATAAACCATGATGACTGCTTAGCAGGCTTCCTTCAGCGGATTTCAGAGATTTGCTCCTTTTATAAGAGATGTGATCTTTATGCTGCTGAATGAGGAAAAGGAAAGCACCTACAGTACTTAAAGTTGGCTATTTTATGTCTTTAATTGAAATTCTAGCAAAAATAGTGATGATCCATTAAATGAAGGTGGATTCTCTGGCAAAGTAAGGTGTTTTGGTCAAGTCTAATCTGCTCCTTCTGCCTTTACATGCACAACTGCAGCTGAACAGTAATTAGGAGCTGTGTGGTATCTACTCCAGCAGCATTACTCACCTTCAGGTCCCGATGGACTACGCCCATCTGATGGCAGTGTAGCACAGCCTCCAGGATCTGCTGAATGCAATGACTGCATGCAAACACCAGGGGGCGTGTGTTAGTTCCAAGCTTACACTCACTGTCTGTATACCCTCAGAGAGACTGGGTTAAAGTGCAAAACTAGCAAACAACTGAGGATGTACACAATATACAACCTCCAGAAATGTACACACATCACTTGCATCGAGCAGCTACTATCTCAGAAGCAGCAGGATTCTATCATGTGAAGGTTTTGCCTTATTTTAACCTGCTTTGCTCTGCAAAGGGAGGGTAGCGGTCAACACAGACTCCGCTTGATTCCACGCAGAAGGCCCGGTCAAGAGATGACGCTACTGCGAGGATCAGAACATTTAAAAATACAACGGAATATGGATACTGACAAATGTTCCGATAAAATCATCTTACAAGATTATGCTCAATATTTAACAGTGTTTGTTTATTTTCCTGCCTTATTGAGAGTTCTCTGCTGCTTTAGCAATCACAGCAGTAAAATCATTGTAAAGTAATGTATTTTAGGTAAATTATTAACTTCTCATAGTTTAATTTAGCTGGTAATTATTATCTCCTGCCTGAGGGTTTGTCAGACTCTAATGCAGCAATGTGTGACCAGTTGTTCTGCTACTGCAACCCACGGTCTCAGAACAGAAGTGGTGTTTAAATCTACAAGCTGACATACATCACAGAGAAAGTGTACCTGCAGGTACGGAAATGAATGTTGAATGAAATCTGTTAGCAGGATGTCATACATGTTTTAGTGTGGGATAAACCCAACACATTTGAAGGATACAGTCTTTTTGCAACTCTT